GCATTGCTAACTTTCGTAAATAGGGTCTCCAAATCATCTAGAGCGCCAAACTCTTTTTCTAAAAAAATGATGTCCCATTTTGGATGATGAGTAAGAATTTATGCATCATCTGGCTAGTGGTCCAAATTGAGAAATAATTAGCAAAATTATCATAGTTATCGATTTTGTCGAAGTTGTTTATGTGATCACTCAAACCTTCTTGTCGAAGACTTTAACTTGCTTCTACAAGGTCTTGACCCTAGCCCTCAGATCGGCCTTTTCTTTGTTGGTCACTTCTAGGGCCTGTGTAGCTATTCATTAGTGCTATCTTAGGCTATCTCAATGTTGCTCTCGAAGACATCACAATTCAACCGATTTATTCCACCTAGCCCGAGTTAACTTTGATAAAGACTTCTGCCCTAGCCATCTCTATTACCTCTTTAGCAATCTTATGCTCTAGCTCATCCTCTAGCTTCTGAATTGAGGTAGCCTTGTCCATGAACTTCCAAGTCTGTCTCTACATGTCTCTTAGCAAATCTTGAGCAATGATGTTGACCCCACGAGCTCGAGAAATACTAGCCATTGCTTCCAAGAGGTCATTGGCTTTGCATGAGAAGACATGGTCACACCACATATTTAATGACCCAAAACTTAACGTTGGAGTCATTAAGAGCGCGTTCGGTGTGTCGTTTTCCAGCCATTTTTTGTTTTTAGTTTTCGAAAATGCCTAAAAAATGTTTGGTCTGTCATATTCAAAAATACATTTTTGAAAACAAGGAAAAATTTATAATTGAAAACTCAAAATGATTTTTTTCTATTTTGAGTATTTTCAATTAAAAAACTCAAAGTGTAGAAAACGCTAAAAACATGCTGTTTTCCCTTTTTTTTTTTTTTACCCAAGGAATGCTTAACAGTATTTTAAAAATAAAATGTTGTAATATGATACAATTTAGTGAAGCATAATAATTTTAAAACCCACATCATTTTTCAATTTCCATTATTATTATTATTATTATTTTATCAAAGTTAGGAAGAAATATTATTTCTTTTTTTACTATCCAAGTGAAAGCAAAATTCATCCAGAACGATGAAGGACAGACTAGCTATTTTCTTTACAACGATTCCTTTTTTTGGTCTACAAATTTTTTATTTTTTATTTTATTTTTGTAGCAAGAGAAAATAGTAAATTCACCAAGTTTAAAAATATATATTATATGGTAATATATTAGCATAAAATTATTATGTTTTACTAAAGAATCTAATTAATTGAATTAATGTCATAAAACAATTTCTAAAAATTTATTATTTATTTATTTTTATTTTTGTAGCAAGAAAAAATAGTAAATTCACCACGTTTAAAATATATATTATCTGGTAATATATTAGTATAAAATTATTATGTTTTACTAAATAATCAAATTAATTTAATAATTGTCATAAAACAATTTCTAAAAATTTTAAACCAAATCTAGTTTTCTATGTTGAGAATCCTTTTTTTAAATGACAAACCGTACACGTTTTGTATAATTTGAAAATAGTCCTTCAAAATAGAAATTTAAAAATAAATTTAAAACTGAAAATAGAAAATGAAAACGCAAACTAAACACACCCTAAATTGTATCAAAACTTTTTAAATACGAAACTTTAATATTGGTTTAGAGAAAAAAAATAACATTAACATTAATGAAATTTTTAAGCTACTTAGTTTATTCCCTCTTTTTTACCAATACAAGCACAATCTACCACCGATTGCCTTGAACCAACTTTTTAATTACCTATAAAATTTAACAAAAAAACGGTGAGACATAAATCTCAGTATACAGATGCCACATAAATCATGAATATGTGCAAGAATAAAAAATTTGACAAAATAGCTTGTCATAAGTGGGACATGGAATTGAGATCAAAATTATGGTGAATGTTATATCATACGTAGTGCTACTAAACCCGACCCATTGTAACATAGAACATATTAGGAGCAATATGCATAAATATATATTTATTTACCTTGATGATACTCACTGAAACAAAAACAAAAACAAACAAAAATAAAATCGTGCTTTAAGAAGTGTTGCCGAACACTTGACAAATTCTATGGAGCGAATCATTTCTTCTTTCCTTTTGTAATTTGTATGAAGAGTATGTGTGTGATTTACGTGTGGCATTTTAAAAGTAGGAAGTGACAAGTTTAAGAAAGTGCATTTAGAGGTATCCAAAAAAGGGAAAGTGTCATTATATATATATATATATATATGGGCACTAAATAAGGTAATATGATATAATTTATGCCAATTTACTTAAATTCATTTTTAATTAAAGATAGAAACTAGGATAATATTCATAATCTTTTCCTCACCTAAAATAATTGTTCTAAAAATTGCATATGGAAAGTTATCAATTCCATCAACTTTCATCATCCTCCATTTAGCGAAATTATTAATTTAGTACATAGACCCAAGTTGGACGGAAGAATATTGTTATTTAAGCTAAATTATTAATTTATTGAACATTTATCGAGGTTTTATTGTATCACTTTTACAATATAAAATGCAATAATGATGGGATAAAAAATTTTGAAAATGTAATTTCAGAATAATTATCTAATTTTGTGTACTAATTTCAACCGCACATCAACTACGGCCCAATTAAACCGGCCCAACTTAGAAAACACTCATAAAAGCCCACTAATAAAAGAGGAAATTAGGCCCATTACTCTAAAAAAATAACAAATTAGATTTATACCTTAATAAAATTAAAACATTCTCACACCGTATTTAATACTTTCATCTCCTTCTTCCATATCACCACATCCACAAATACCACCCCAATCACACCAGAAACTCAACCACACTGCACCCTCATCTCCATTTTTCATAATATCACCTTCAAATTTTCTATCTTCAACCTAAATTTCATAAATTCCCCTTCTTTCCAATTCCTCGTATGCTTCACCAACCAAAGTAATCGTTCTCTAAAATGGCTCCATCTTCACCCACAAATTCTAATGGGTAAACTCAACAATTCCGTTATTTCGTCAATCATATACCGTAGTTTGGATTTTTCCATTTCTATTATTTGTTGCTCTTGTCTCAATTAAAGGATCAAGATATCACTGAGATGATTGCAACTGGATGAGAGAATTTGGCTTCAGTTCCCGCCGACGTGGTGCAGTTGCTGTACCTGCACTTGCTGCAGCAGGAGGTGCTGCTGACCCAACCACTACTTAAACAAAGAACTGAAGAAGAAAGAGAAAGTTGAAGAGAAAGAAGAGTCGGATGATGTAAAATACCGCACTTCATTCTTTTTCGTGATGTCCTTTTCATTTTCTTGGATCAATTTATGTGCTAAAGAGAAATTTAATATTGTGACTTTTGATTCTATGGTTGCAGGATATGGGCTTTAGTCACCTCGACTAAAAACTGCAAAATTGGACGAAGAAGTTACTGTCAAGTAATTTTAGAAAATTTTCACATTGTTCTTGGTTTGGGTACTAGACTTGCTTAGGTAACGAGAATTTTGTTTTCAAGTGAACAAGTTGCAGATATTAGAAAATGAGAATTTTGTTTTTTTGCTTGAGTTTGTTTATTTCGATTTGATGATTTTGTGTATCGTATGTTCAAAAGTGTATACCCGTTGTTATTCTCCAAGAAAAATGGATTGTTTCGGTGTCTTTTTTTATTGTTTTCTAATTGGGATTAAGTAAGTACTGTTGAAAGAGCTGAACAATGTGAGGTGTAGAGAAATATATCAAAAGAACAATTGGTAGATTTGGTATTTCAAAATGGTCGATATGGAAAGAAATGTATCACATTTTTTAGTGTTCGTCAAATTTGTGTCGCTTTAGATTTTTGTCACTTTTTTTTTTGTATTGGTCACATTTGTCACTTTTAGATTCTGTTATTTATTTATTATTTTTTTTTTGAATTTTTGTCACTTTTTTGAAATTTTGTCACTTTTTTTAGTCACATTCTTAAAATTTTTATCACTTTTTTTAGTGACAACACCACTTTTTTAATAAAAATGAGATTATATGTCATTTTTTAATTTGAAAGTGACACTAAACTTTTAAATGTGACATTGTGTCTCTTTTTTAAATTCGTCACTTTTTTTTTTAAATTTCTATCACTATTTGGAATCTGTCACTTTTTTAATTAGTCGTTACTTTTTTTGAATTTTTGTCACTTTTTCCAATCATCTTTTTGGAATTTCTATCACTTTTTTAATACTTGTCGCCTTCTTGATTTCTATCTCTTTTTTAAATTCGTCACTTTTTTAGTGTTTGTCACTTTTTTGTGCATTTCACTTTTTAAAATTTGTCACTTTTTTGAAATTTTGTCACTTTTTTTTAGTATTTGTCACTTTTTTTTAGTGTTCGTTGCTTCTTCTTTTTTTCAGTTGCCTTCTTGAAATTTTTATCACCTTTTTAGTGGCAAACATCATTTTGTAATAAAAGTGAGATTGTATGTTATTTTTTTAATAAAAAAGTGACACTAAACTTTTAAAAGTGACACTGCGTCACTTTTTTAGATTCTCGCTTTTTTGAGTTTTTTGTCACCTTTTAAGTTTTTGTCACTTTTTGAAGAAGATAAAAAAAAAGTGATATAATATGTTATATTTTCCTAACATAATAATGCGTGTGGACAATGCACATGTTGATTATGTTAAGAACCGCCACTATGTTCACGTGAATTGTCCTAAATATGTTGATTATGTTGAAAACGTGATTACTAGTGTTGCACAAATGAATGGTTTTATTTTGGTGTTTGTTACTCTTTTTTAAGTTTGCGTCACCTTTTTTGAGTTTGTAAAACTTTTCTAGTGTTCATGTCACTTTTTTTTTTAATTTGGTCACTTTTTTTGAGTTTGTGAAAAAAAAAGTGACAATTTTTTTTTTTTTAATAAAAAAGTGACATTGTGTCACGTTTTCATTTTATACAGTATTTTTTACTTCCTAAAAACTTTTCATATGATTTTTCAAAATACATCTAATTTTAACGGTATTTTTGTAAGTTGCCCCTAGTAAAACCGAAAACCTCGATGAAGAAACCTGAAGAGGGATTTAACAAACAAGAAATAATTGCCCTAGAAATGGCCAAATCCTGCAAGGGCCTAGCTATGGAACTGGTCAATTGCCTCAGTGAATCAGACAGTGTAAAGGTATATATTTATCTTTTAAGTTTTCGGTTTAGTATGAAGAATTCTAAAAATGACATTATTGTACTTGGATTCGGAACTCATGGAGCCCGAATCACTGAGTACTCTGTAGTTGAGCCTTGATTTCGTGTGGTCATAGGTTAGGTGTATGCTATTGATAGTCTTGATTCTTAGTAATGAAATTTGACATAATTTGAGATAAAATGAATTATTGTAGGGGACAACCGGCCATATGGAGAATGTGCCAAGGAGCAGAACCCGAAAATTTCAAGCGAGTGTGTGGGACTAAGAGAAACGTATTTCAATTGCAAGAGAGGCCAGGCATGTCTTCTTTCTTTACCATATTAATCTTTGGAATATGTGGGATATCTTCATTTTAAACGTAAGGGAAGAATTATTCAAATATGTAACTTCCTTTCTGCAAAATTAATGGGGTGTGGTTGTCATGGCCTATATTTTACGACTTCAATGCATTTTCTCGAGATATTGATATTGAACTTATGCTTGTGTGGACCATTTTATACTTGTAAGCATGAATGCAACTTGGTTATGTTTAATTGCTGAAAGAGAGAATCTTCTGTGTTATCTATTTATTGATCATAATATGAATTGCGTAGTAGTACAGACATTGAATTGAGCACTAATTAATTGTGTGAGTTTTTTGTTGTTAACATAAGCCCTGAATAAATGTCTTTATTGTATTCATATTCAATGTTTATGGTGTAATCAGGTATTGTTGTGTTTTTCCGTCCAAATCCAAAAATTGTTAAAAACTGTTAAGATGCAAAATGAACTCATAATAAATCATTAACAATCTTCAAAATTCATAATAGAATAATTTGAAGCGTGTAAGCAAACAAAAGAAAGATCTATTAAGTAATGAAAACGAAAATATTATTTTGTTGGGACAATGGATTATTCCCGAAGCTGGTCTATGAGAAACAATATTTTTAATGTTATTGGCTACTCCTAAAATTAGTCCATGAGAATCTTTACACCTTTTTTGGCTTACACCTAAAACAAAGTAAATAAGTTTGAGAATTAAGGATCACACCATAGGATCCTGGTTTGCTGCTGTTGTTTCTTCTCAAATGCTGGATGGCTGCTGCTGATGATTTGGAAAAACCTGGATGTTGCTGCCTGTTCTTGAGGCTGTTTGCTGCTGCTGATAGTCTTATGGATCTGCTGAGGACAATCAGAAATTGAGTAATAGTGAAATAGGAGTTGATGTATGACATTGATGAATGTGAGTACGAAAATTTAAATGCAGAACAAGGATCTGTAAGATGAATGCTATGAGGCTACTGGACTTGTAATAGCAATAAAACAGAGGAATGGTCTTTATCCATGGATATTCCGCTTATTTAAAAAAATGAAGTATTCCGTCCAGTTCCACTCTGATTAAAATTTATGGTTGATCTAATTAAAGAATAAGGTAGTACTAGTTGGAAATAGGCATGTTTGGATCAAATTGCACGTGACCATTGAGAGTATAGTTATGATATTTGTAATGAAGACGGCTTGATCCTATATTAACATAATTGATGGACAAGATTGTTCGTATATGCTTTTGGTTATGATAACAATAGTTTTAACGTCATAAAGTTATACACATTCATTAGATAGCATATGTGACCCAAGTGGAGGATTGTTGGCAAAATTTTAATTTGTCATGTGGGCCTACACATGTAATTAATTGTATATAAGACTATATTAAAGTTAAATAAAAAAATAGAGAGATCTAATAAAGAATTCAATTATTGGACTTAGGACATCTAAATAAAGGGTGGATCAGATTATATATGTAGAGACCAGATTCCTTTAGAATTATATTTTATGATGGGCAAAATACTTATGAATATATATAGAGTTATGATCAAACTTTGATTATGGAAAGGAACCAAATCAAATTGAAACCATTGGATTCAATTCCATTCCATAATTATCAATAGAACCGATGGTTTCAGTATTACAAGCAAAAACAGTCATGAAGACTAAAGAGGTAACTAGTTCAAAGCAGTTGTTGTAGATATTTATTACTTCATATTAGATAGATTCCAATAAAAATCAGAAATACAAGCAACTGAAATGCACAAAATATGATGCAGTTTAGGAAAATCAAACCACCAGCTTATCTTCCTTAGCCAGATGGTTTTTAGGAAGCTTGCAAAATTCTTCAGTCAAACGGATGCACTCGTGAACATTTTTAGGGGATACAAAGTTTAGTGCCACCTTTATGCATGACTGTACACAGAAAGACGTGAGAATATGGTTTGCAGCCAAACAAACGAAATAAATTGTATAATTCAGTTTGTGTATCAAAAACTAGAGAATTTGTGCAGGAAATTTTTCAGTTAAAACAGAAGCATCTATTTAGAGCAGGACACAGACTTAACTACCAATCTAAAGAACTAATCAGATTGGAACCAAAGACATAATTTTTATGTATTTCTATTTCACACTCGATACTTTAGAATAATAGAAAGAGAACAGGAATTTGCCAGCGCATAAACCTCAAGTTTTCTTCAAGCTCAAGGGATGAAAAGTAGGACAAAAAGATTAAGAAATTAGGAGACACCACCATAAAAAAGTATAGTACAGAAAACAATCTTAATATATTATCTTGTACAAGTTCTTGTAAGACCATTTAGTGATATCAGAAGCAAGCTGGGCCAAGATTTTCAACATTGTCAATAAATGTCACAACTTCATAAAGAGCTGGCCTTGTTCAAACTAATCAGGTCAGTTGGATAAATATATAATGTTGTTATTCTCCTAACGCAAAACACTGCTACATACTTATTCGTGATGCCTTACAGCAAATCATTATGTTTTTAGATTATGATGGCACAATTTAGGTGACAATACATGTAATACTAGATTACAAATTCATTAAACGAAATCAGATCTGATCAATTTAATTTAATCTATTATATATTATCATCTAGATTGGTGCCTCTAATATCAGTGAAACTATGTATCATTATTCCAAGTTCAAAGTTAAATTCAATTTCTATTGAAAGTGAAGACATTAAAAAACAAGATTTAAAGTTAAAATAATCTCTCATTAAAAGTGAGTAGATTCGAAAGTACTTTAAATTCTTTGCTCATACTTCCATGAAGTGCAAACTCGAAAGGGGTGGACTGATTCTAGCTGGTTAAAATCACTTTTAGATAATTAATTTCATTTCAATTGTAATTCATCCAAAGAGACATATCAAATACCATTTGTATAGCTCTTAGACATCTAAGGCATGCTCGATGTAAATTTTTGAGAATGAATTTTGTGAAAAATAATATTTCTGGATATTGTGTGATTAGAAGTAGGGAAAAATAATGGTCCACGTGTAAAATTATTTTATTAGAAGAATATGTATAACAAATGAGTTTAGAAAAAATGAATTTTAAATAATTTATACCAAACATGAGCTAATTGATAAGTGTATTTCATACACTTATTCGGGATTTCAAAATAGTAATATTTGATAGTTCTTTTGACAAATTATATCCTAAATTGTTGTATTTTATGTTTTATAGGTAAACTCTATAAATAAAAAGGAATAGAAGGAAAGAAGCAAACAATAACGAAACTTGGCAAAATCCAAAGTTTGGGAATTAAATTGGCTAGTGGATGCAAAGTTTGGAGATCAAAGTTTACACTATAGAAATTGAAGGACTCAATTGCATTATTTGGGAAAGATGAAACATTGGAGAGGAATATTAAATTAAATGGGCATTGAACTTAACTGGGCTTTAGCTTGGACTTGCAATTGAGAATCAAAGTAAAGAATTACTCGGGTTCTGTTGAATATGAAGTTGCTAGGTTAATATATATTCTTATGCTGGAGGAATTAAAGGGGGAGTCTATAATATTTACGCATAGAAAGAGAGAAAATAAAAGGGTAGAAAGTGAAGTAAAAAAAAAATAATGATAATAAATTCAGCTTCTTGGGGGTTGAATTGATACATTATTTCAGCTGTTTAGGGAGGAAAAACCCCCCCAAAAAAAAAAAAAAAAAAAAAAAAAAAAAAAAAAAAAAAAAAGGTCACCAGCTAGGAGGAAAAAATATTATACACACGCATAGGGCTGCCAATGGAGAAAAAAGGGGGCTGCAATATTATATATTTACACAAACATTGGGTTGCAATTTTGCTGAATAAGAGATATATACACAGAAATTTGTGTCAGCTATTTTTGGGCACAAAGAGGGCTGATTTTGGCAGCAACTTTAAGGCATAAAGAAGTGCTGAATTGATATATATACTCACAAAAAAGGGCAGCCAAGTAGCTGTTTTTGAGGGGGAAAAAAGAAATTATGGCTGGTGGATTGGAATATTTACACGGTCAAGAAGAATTGGAGGCAGAAAACACATGGAAGCTGGTGGCTTTAAGTGATTATATATATACAACCTACATTTGGAGCAGCTTTTGAAATAAAGATTGGAAGAGTTGGCGGTTGGAGAGACAAAACGAAGATGGTTGAGGAGCTGAAAGGGAAAAGTTTTATTTAGGCATAAAAGTTGGCGGTAACACGAAATTGCAACAACTGATCAGGTTTCGTTGATTTTTGGTGATATCTTTCATCATTTCTTTATTTAATTTCAACTCTATATTAGGCTAAATTTCATATTGCTAGTATGTGATATGAAGTTTTTGATTTAAATAATTAAATTGACGTTAATTTGTTTAAGTTTTTGGATGTTTATTATGGTTTAATTTTCTATTCAATTACTTGGCCAATAATTGAATTGTTTGTGAATTTTATTATCATCGTAAAAGATAATAAGGTCATTAGCACAAAGTAAACATTGTGAGGTTCGATAGATGATAGAGATATACCTTTATACTTCATATGGTTTTTATAAGATATTTTTGCTTGTTTAATACATTTATCATGTTCTCATCTTTCATCGAGAGATAGGAATGTCATATGAGGGAATAGATTTGATAACCGTCGAGAGAGATTTCAATTAAAATAGGAATATTGACCAACAATCATGATTTCAAATTGTAGTCCTTTAAAAGATTTTGACTATGAATCTTGATTTGTGGTTTTTACTCAAACAAAGCAGACTTTGATTGCAAAGCAGTGACATTTTGAATACAGTACTCCAAGAAAGACTGTCGGGGTCCATTTGTGCGAGTTCAATGAAGTTGAAGCTCCCAATGCTCCGAAGCAGTTGAGGGCTCAAAGTTCTCGATTGAGTGCAAAAAAGCTAGCCGACACCTCAATAGCTTTGCTCCTCATAGCAATATAACTCTTTATAGCTTTGAAAAATGATTTTGAACTTTGAAGCACACTGTATTTGGCTTTCAGAATGACAGATTCTCAAAAGCAATTCCAATGTTTATGTGGGTGCTTTGCTCCATTCGTCATGATTAGTGATCGTTTGATTACTCACAAGTGAAAGAGATCGTGAACAAGTAATAAAGTGATGTGTAGAGTGTCGAACCCATGAGAACTATATGTTTGACCAAGTTAAATTTAACACTTCCCTTAATCGAATAGCAAAATTGATTTGTAACTAAAAACTATTAAATATATTAACTAACTTGAAAGCAATGTAAACATTTTTAAATTTGAGAAATATATTGCTAGGGTGTAGAATTTCCCATGCTACTCAATTTTTTACTTCAACAATCTAAGCGCCCCCTTTAAATTCCCAATCTTACAAGAATGAGAATAAAAAATATAATTGTTAGGAGACCTACACAAGAGAGAAAATGTCAAAAATGGTGGCTTGATATGATGGATAACGGTTATATTTTTCATTTTTTTATCCAAAAAATGGGAAACAAATAGGGCCTAAATTGACAATTTGAAATCATGTTTGTTGGTCAATGTTCCTATTTTAATTGAAAATCTCTCTCGATAGTTATCAAATCTATTCCTCTCATGTGACTTTCCTATCTCTTGATGAAAGATGCGAACATGATAAATACATTAAACGAGTTAGAGCATCTTATAAAAACTATATGAAGTATAAAATTATATATCTGTCCTCTATCGAGCCTCACAATGTTTATT